CAGGAAGATGAGGTGCAAACACAACCTCAAAAGTCCTCACAGACACTTGAAGCATAGGCTGATGAGGATCAGGGACAGTACGGGCAGTGCGATGCAGCTGGAGACGTGTTGTTACAATGTTTGCCCATGCCAGGCCTAGTGCCGGCACAGCATGCTGTTTTATTTCATTATTTTTCCCATCACGAGCCACTTCTGTTACCTTAAACAAGCACAACAATTATAGTGATTTTGCATGAAATCCGAAGAGACATAAAGTTACTAAGAGGACTAGCCTACATGCAGATATCTTCCTATAGTCAGTTCCATTTCAGTGTTGTCCCTGGTTTGGAAAAGGCTGAGAACCCCTGTTATATTGTGTCAAGTGAGATAAGAAGATGACTATGAATGATTTAAAAGCAGATGGACATATCATGTTCTACTGTACCACACAGGCATTTATCTAAAGTGACAGACAAAATTAAATAAATATCAGTCAGAATAGCTGATAACTTGGCTGAGATTCAAGCTGGGGATCTACTGGGTCTTTACGAGCATGAACGAGATGTTTCATAAGTAAAATTCAGCAGCCATTTCTCACCCAAGTCTCACCAGATCCACTACTAGACAAAGAAACCTCCCACATGGGAGGAGGCCAAGGCTTGACTTCGGACTGTCACACCATAGAAAGAAAAAAGCATCACCACTACATAAACACACAAATGTATTCCTGGTACCTGGTTGACACATATCACAGCCATGTGGAATTTCTCTGCAAGTTTATGAAGCTGGCTACCAACAATCTGTAAGTCTTTTGCTCTGTTTATAGCGTCACTTGGTTCATAATCTGCTCGAAACAATCCAGCAATGGAGTCCACCACAATGAGCCTGATGCTGTGCCTGGTCAGAAGCTGAGGCAGTTGAACAAACAAACATTGTTTCAGACTTTCCTGGAAAAAAAGTTTTTCACTGTAGCAGGATTCCATACAGACTGACTTGATGTTTCTTCACAGACTATTTCACAATACCCAATGATCCACCACAGAATAAGACTGGGACTTAATGACCATTCTACATATGTACATAAGTAAAAATATTTTGAACTTTCATAAACACTAAACACTAGGAATATATATATATATATATGATTACTCACAACATCACCAATATGTTCGATGAAGATATTGCCTCCAAAACTGATATTGGTCTGTGACTGTGAGAATGTGGGGGGGAACGAGTTGAATAATTCGTGAAGGCGACGAGAAGGAAAGGCATCTTCAGTACAAATATAAACTGCTCCTGAAACAATGAGGATGGTTTATATCCTCCAGCTATCCCATTCTTTACACATTTCTCATTGAGTACTTGAGAACATAAAAGACATTTACCTCCATTAAAGCCACCACATGAGACTGGGTATTGGACTGTCATAGTCATCTGAAGGCAGAGTTGGGTTTTCCCACTTCCACTCTCTCCAGCAATTTCTGTTATCCCGTGGGCTGCGACACCTCCTCTTAAAAATCCATCCAATTTCACGCAACCTACTGATAAACGTTGCCATCTTTCTTCCAACTTGCGAATTGTACCTGCAACTTTTATAAAAATATTCTAGGGCTATCAGGATTGTTCTGTAGTTGTCAAATATAGTATTATATGAAAGTTTTAAAGATCTTACCAGGAATGAACCCAGAAGTTAAAATTGATTTTGCAGCACGTGTTTTGAGCAATTCGCATTCTTCCTTTGACAAATTTCCTTGTTTCAGTAATTCATAATCAGAAGACGTTAAAATTGAAATTGTAGAAACGAGGCCCGCTGAAACAACAATGACGTTGACAGAAAATATTAAAAAATTATATTTATATGTGGCAATACAAATCACCTGTATCCAAGAGTTTGGATTTACCGCCCGGTATTTATAAGTTAGGGTACCTCTTTCCAGACTTTCGCGCACTTTTTCTGGCAAATCCGAAATATCAAGATTTGCCATATTAGCATTACAATAATTAAGTACGAAATAACACTCAAAATGATCTAGATACTGGGCTCTAAAATGTATTTAAATTCGATAATTTTCATATCTCCACCACGACACTGAGGCTGCCATGACAGCTTGGACATTGCAGTGCCGCCAACATTTGAATTACATCGCTTCCGCCTACTTAGTGACCATAAACAAACATTTAGACAAATTTTGATACCATCCTTCCAATTCTGACCTTGTTCGCCTCTATCCTTTCAATTAAGGAACTTTAAGTTTTCAATACCATACAAATTATACTTACGCGAAAACAAATACTGGTTCACGAGTTTCATTTTCAAATGCTAATCCCTAACATGTGACAAATGTTTACCCATTGCTGCAATTAATTCTCAACAAAATTGACATTTTTTAGACATGTTTGATTTGTACTATATGAAGCATCAAAATTGTTCAACGAGTAGCAGTGTGGACAGGTGAAATGCTATTAAACTATCCAGTGCCAAATTTATAAAAATAAACTTCCCACACTGTTGAGTAAGTAGGAACAATTTACATTCATGAACCTTTATTGTACCACTGTACAGAATATATATTATATAAAAACATTCTGGTTAAGATTTGTGGGTGCATTTCTGTTGTGCACATCCACACAGTGTCCTGAACACAACACTTTTATTGTACCATTTAATAAGACTATCAACATTTTACTTCACATAATTAATCATTTTTGCTTTGATTTGTTAGCTATGCCATCTATCACATCTTACCCTTGTATGCAGTCAAGATCACTGTTTTGAGGAATTTCAATTTTACTGGTCCCTTTGGATGATGACCCTTTTATTTTTGTAATATGACTTTCAACAGCCTACAGAGGAATGGTGGCCTATTATAATCTAATGAATCTATCAGGCATTCCAGGTTTATAGTTTAAGCATCTGGAATTGTCAAAGTTTCCTTTACTGACATGATTTGGATGCTAACATATAAAAGGCAGTAAAATTCATTATACGAAAGCTTCATATTCCAACGAATACTTCTTTAAATTGTACTAAACACAGAAATTATAATAAAAATATTGGAAGTTTGAAAATGATAATAAAGGACAAGGTTTCTTTTGTTATGAATCCAAACTGGACAACTGTTCCACACTAGAATTTGTGATTGAAGAATATGCAAGACTACTGCGACTCAGAATGAAGACAATTATGTGGGACAATTACAAACTTGATGTATCCTGCTTTGTACAAATACATATGGTTTATAAATCTCTTCCTCATCACACTTTGGTCCATATATAGCTTGTCAGTGCATATGAAATTGTTATGATACTTTATTGCACATTGCGTAAGCCAAAAGCTTTCAATAGCACAATGCCATAATGAAGTAAAGGTTAAAACAACGCATATGGTAAAAATGCTTATATGATGGCAAGAAGCTCAAAATGAATTATATACAACTCATGTAGTCAACAAAATTGGAGAATATTTGAAAACTACTACAGAAAATTTAACAAATATATTAACAGGATAGAAATGACAACTGACCATTACATAACTGGAATCATGAACTGGAATTTCAGGCAAGGCAATCCAAATCTGAAATACACAAGCCCAGATTACATCAACTATTTAAGACACAGCGTTAAAAAAACATATGAACCACAGATTCATGCCAAACATAGATTAAAATATATTTACTGGGACTTCATTGAGGACTTCAAAGGATTTGAAGAATATCAGATTTTATTTCAAACCTCCTGCACGAATGTTCATTCAAAATGTTCACCTGTATAAAAAAAAAAAATATATATATATATATGGAAGAGCCAAAATAAACCAGTGTTCTCAAGTCTTGGATAAGGACAATCCTGAACACGTATCGACAGATAACAAATCAAGAAATCTACAATCACATTACAAAGATTTTTACGTTTCTGACCCTATGAACCAAGATGATATGGTGTACAGGGGGAAAGGAGGCAAAACTCCCAGAGATTCTTAACAGCCACCCTTCATGCACTATGTTAAACGTGGCAGATGTTATCTGCTACACTTAATGTGATGAAAGGAAATGTCTATTTATTGCTTCTCTGAAGAGCATTAAA